ACCCCTGATTTTGGTATAGCTGCAATGTCCCCCTTCGCTCCGACCTCTTCGCACGGCTCTGGGCGTAAGTAAGCTTCCGAAGAGTAAGCCTACTGCAAAATTCACACGATCTCACCACAACCCTAAAATTGTCACCAGCATTCAATAGAAGTTATGACACTCGCAGAATTAACACGTACACCTGTTCCACAAACAAAAAAGAAAAAAAAAAAAAAAAAAAAAAAAAAAAAATCCAACCCCCTTTTAAAAAAAAAAAAAAAAAAAAAAAAAAAAAAGAAGAAAAAATTCAATCCTCTTTTTAAAAAAAAAAGTGAGCTGACAGTTGTCCTTAATTTAAAACAAAATTTAAAACCCGTTGATATGACAAGACACAGCAGTTTACTCAGTGCCAACCGGGTGCCATCCCTCAACCCTGCCTTTTTAGTGCAAATTTCTTTGCTTCCTGAGTCCTGAGAGACGGACACGTTGACATTAGGTGTCATGGTGCACTGAGTCCATTATTGTTCCATTCGCTGCTCCAAGCCATTCGTGTTATACTAATTACGAAGTGGCTGTTCGTATCCGGGTACCAGAAGTGAGAGGTTGGGATTAAAAAAACTATTTAAAATATTATTGTTGGGTTTGTAAGACAACATGAGGAATCAAATGAAAGATAATTGAATGAACTATGTTTGTAAGCTTAATTCTTCAGTTTAAAAAAAAAATAAACTACCACAAATGACATCCAAACAGCATTTTGTCAAAATGGACCCAGGCGCGCAGCGCCGCCATTTACACCCGGATACCATTAGACTATTTAGACTCAATGCTATTCGGATGTCACTTGTGGTAGTTTATTTAATTATACTGAAGAAGTTGATTTATATTCGGATGTACCAGATTTTTTTACAATTTAACGTTAATCAAAGTTTGTGTGTAATTATTTTTTTTTAAATAACAAATCCCACAAACTGGAGGTGACTGACCGCTCTACTGTATTGCCAGGCGAGGAATTACATTTTTTTCCCCTATATGAACCATATTTAACAAAATGGTTACTCCGTACTTTTCTCTCTCTGGGTAGGTGATAGACCTCAGCGGTGAACTTGTGAAATAAAGTGCTCACTTAACTAGCTACATTGCAATCATATTAAATATTAATCGTTCATTCGCTAAATTACTCAGGGGTATAAACAGGGATTATTTCAGAAATTTTCCTCCGGGGAGGCACTTCATATTTTTCGCGCGGGGGGGGGGGGGGAAAAATGTAAAGGAATTTAAAGCCTACGTTAAGATAATTTGTACAACAGTATTTCATAATATCTAAGTTAGCGATTTCCAATTTATTTGTTTGTTGTTGTTTTTTTCTCTTTATTTTAATTGTTTGTTTTTTTTTGTTTTTTTTAAATGCTTCTTACGATTTATTAAATTACGCAAAATAATTTTAACCCCTTGAAACGGGTCATTTCATCGATGGCGATTTCTAAAAATGGCAAAAATAATAATATTCATTTATTTAAGAATATGTTAATAAGATTTTCTTAGACGTACACATTCTATGTGACAAACTCAAGACACATTACCACCAACAAAAAAACAAAAAAAATGATGATAAATACATTTTAAAAAATCCAGAACTTACATAGAAAATGTAGAGCATTGCACACTTCTACAGAACAAAAATTATTGTTAACTATATAAAAAAAAGGACAAATACATGTGGAAATATCATATGAAGAGAACACAACTGTTTTACTATAAGGCAAATTCTCCTGCCCTGCCCGTCTGCACGGTGAAGCTGACGTTAACGGCTGACCCCCCCCCCCC